AATTCTTCACCCAAGTGAGATATCAGCTGTTGGCCATATTTAAGGAAGAAAGGACCTTATAATTTCCATGCAGTTCTTTGTTCTGAAAACTGTAATGAGATGTTACTAACACAATTGCAAATGTGTCCTTCACCATAATGATGGAAATGAGAGGAACCTAACTGTTCCTTGCTAATCCAGAAACGACTTTCCAATGGTGCATAACATTTCTGTAGGGCTGTATTATTCAGCTACCTGTACCCATTGCTCTTGCTGGGCAGGATGGTCTGTTATAAAGTTGGAATGTGCTAGTGCAGGGTTGGCATCCTTTGGCCCATGGGCCAGATACAGCATTTGAATAGACCGGATATCACCCATTGCAGCTCAGGAAATCAGCCCAAGTGGCAAAGGAAGCAAACACAGGGTCTTAATGCCTGCCTGTGCTGAGAGGCAAGAAGCTCTTGGGGTGCAACATGGAGCAGGGGCTGTCACAAGCAGCAGCCCACGAGATTTTACCACTCAACCCCTGTGCTAGTAAATGAATCCATCTAGACTGAGATAAGCCATGTACACTCAGTTAGAGCTCTTCCTGCATAGCAAAAATGACTGGAAAGCATATTGTTGAGATACAAAAGCAGAGCAACAGAAAACTTCAAAAGCAAACAAGATACAGGGCTCACACTGAAGTTTATGTTTTCCAGTTAGGCAGAAAGGTGAATGGGGTCACTAGTCAGTCAGAAGTTCATAATGAGGCTCTGAGGAGCAGTCAGCCTCAGTGGACATGTACGGTAGACATGGACAATGCTAACAGATTTTACCCAGATAGAGTAAGGGCAGAATTTCATACAGTGGCTATCTAATATGATACTAAAGTCCCATGAATACAGATGTCACTGGGAACAATTGGCAGCTTTTGTGTTGTCAGAGGTGGTAAAAATAATGAACATGGAGGTGATAATACAATTCATTCATATGTATTTCTGTCCCAAGAGCTTTTTTCTCAAGCAAGTTTCTGCCTGGTTTATCCCAGCTGGTATACTATTCCTCTTACCTAGTGTGGGTTTTAATGATTATTTGGACCCTTAAAAGCATGTGGAGTAAGTGGTCATGTCCACATGATGTTTGGTTCCCTGGGGATAACTAGCAGCAGTACTTGTGCTGCCGCTAGTTGGCTCTGGGAAATGCCTGTGCCATCCACCCTCTGGTGCATGGCAGGTTACCCCAGGTGTGGTAAGGGAGGCTGGGGCCTCCAGCTGTGGCTGTTTAGCCCCCTACTCATGACTTGGATGTTCTTGTCATCAGTCCTGGGATCCTTCAAAAATGTATATGAGATGAGGCACAGGGCAACCCGGTCCAGCTTTAGCTCATGGAGGGCAGGGTCACACTAAGCATACGTAACAGGCTGAGAGAGGGGTGACAGAGGGATTCTGAGTGAACTGTTTGGGGCCCTGTTTGGTGATGTTTGCCAGACATGTAAGGCTGGTGAGGAAACAGCAGTCACTGGAAATAGGAAAGAAAAGTGCAACTCAGCTATGGGGGTGAAGAGGAAGTCAAAATGTGTTGCCCTGCAGGGTCAGGCCAACCTTCAGGATCTCAATATTGCGCTGTTAGACAGGAGGGTGTGACACAATTGCACATATACAAACACACAAATCAATTAGGTGCATACACACATGCACACTACCAGCTCTGGCACATACACATCCAAACCAGCCTAGGCACATGCATACCTATCACCAGTTCAAGCACATGCAGTATACACCCCGAAAGTTAGACACAGATCACTAATTCATATATCATGCACACAATGTTATATATATATACACACACACACTCACCAGTTCACACACATACAACCCACCTACACATACACACAGGTCAGTTCCTAACTTGGATGGTACAGTGTATATGTGTGTGCTTGGGGTACCTGGGATACTTGGGGGAAGGTTCAGGTGAGAGAGAGAAAGCATAGGGAGTGAAAGTTGCTAGAACCAGGATTAGAACCAGTGGACTACAGAGAAGCTGGCTGAGGAACTGAGGCTTGGGGTTACTTAAGGCAAACTGGGGCTGGAAACTGAGGCAGACAGCTGAAATGTTGGGGGGGGGCAGATAAGTGGTGGCAAGGAGGAGACAGCCAGGAAAGAAACTGAGGTAGAAACCTGGTTGTTCAGGGGAAAAGGAAAAGGCAGCGGGAATAAGACAGTGGCAAAGAAACAGGGGGTTTGGAAGCAGAGAGGAGCTCAGGATAGGTGTTGGAGGTGGCAGTGAGCCAGAAGCAGGAGAAATGAGACAGAAGTTAGAAGGGCAAGGAGCAGAGATTAGAGCAGGGCCAAACCATAGTAAAGCAAAACCCAACTTAGGGGTCCAAATAACAGTTTTATTACACAGACAACACACTACACAGCCCCATGAAGTTATTAGGTCACACACACACTGGCAGCAGGAGAAAGAGACTCAGTGGAAGGGTTAGAGTCCAGGTAGGGAAGAGAAGCAGAGTCCAGGTCCTTGGTTGAAGAGGGGGTGGGAGGTGATAGCTACCTATCCGGGCTGGAAAGTGGTCCTTGTCCAGTAGGTGTTGGCCAGAGGGGGGTCGCCAGCAGGGCCTCTCAGTGGATAGGCAGTGTGGCATGGTGCTGGTCCAGATGGAGAGGGTGTCCCATTGGGTCTGTCTTCACTGCCCTTTTTTATAGGGGCAGACCTTGTACGATCCTAGTGACAGGAGTCATGCCCAGGCAAGGGTCAGCCCCTGATGTACTGTGCATGTGTGCTCCATACAGGGATGTGCAGTTTCAGGTGTCTGTAATGGTGGGGTACAATGGTAGAGTTGATGGGTCTGCAGGGTCTTTTGTCTTTCAAATGCTGGGTTCATGTCTCTGTTTCTGGGTGAGATCTGTTGTTCTTGGGTGAATCAATGCGAGGTGATGTCCCAGTCATTACAGACCATTCAGTAGAGGCCTGCTACCATTGTATTTCAATCATTCCCAATCACTCTCACTCATCCAGGAATACATGGGAGGTGTACGTGAATCATACAGTTGTAACACAGGGGATGCCCAGGCAGAGAACACAAGTTGGAGGCTTGACATACAAAATGGAAACTTGACATGACTTACACTAACTTACATATATAGGCCTAAAACAGTAATCACACAATATAAAAGCAGT